TTTGACGCCAAAGGGGGAGAGGGATCGAGTATGTTAGACTTAGGGAGGAGCGACATATCTAGGGAGAGCTTAGTTATAATATTAGCTTATATATTACATTTGGAGTTTTTATGTGTGATACACTATTATGCATTCGTCGTGTGTTTACTTCTTATGCATTAAACTATATTTATGTGATAGTGATATCTACGTGATCGTGATATATGACATGTGTGCTCTCTACTTTGAATTATTTATATGTCATATCACTTGTGTTACGCTCATTTGCTTTTGCTTCCACGTTTTACTCCGATGCAAATGAGCTTCATTACTTGTACTCGTGCTTAATTCATATCTTTTGAGTACATTATGATGGCTTGGGTCATATAAGCTTGCCTAACCTTTTGTTCTTATTGACAAAGGCTTATATGATCCAAGCATGTTAAAAACCTCATCTCTTTCACATACTCGAGGTGGTATTGTCATCAATCACCAAAAAGGGAGAGATTAAAAGCATTTAGGCCCCTAGTTGGGTTTCAGTGATTAATGACAATACGTGATTATTATGACTAACGTGTGTTTTGTAGAGGCAATTAAGTTAGGTCATGGTAATGCAGATCAATTGGGCAATCATTGTGGTCATGCCCCTACGATGGAAATTGTTTCGGTTTTCAAAGGATGGATAACAAGGTTAAGGATGGACTAGTTCTAAGTGTCGATTGGAGTTGAGGAGACACTTAGAGTAGTTTAGGACTTTGTTTTTCCTTTAGCCGTACTATTAAGGGGGTATGGACGGGTAGCTTGACCTAGGTGAGTCTAGTGAGTTAGGTGTGGTGCACACTTATTAAAACTAGCACTAGGTAGCTCCAAAATAGTCCTAAATCAAACACATGTGTATCCGTGTGTACGAGGGAACGCGAGCATGCATTTTCAGTTAAAAGATATTATATAACCTTAATTTTACCATGTGCTGTTTAATTTATATCACTGAATTATAACGCACGCCTTATATATGTGTTGTGAAGGAGGCCTGTGTATGATGTGCGAGTGCGACTGGTTTAGGTGCTGTTTAGTTCTCAGAATTTGGCAAAATTTTTCAAGATTTCTCATCACATCGAATCTTTAACGCATGCATGAAGCATTAAATATAAATAAAAAATAAAACTAATTACATAGTTTAGACAAAATTCACGAGACGAATCTTTTAAGCCTAATTAGACTATGATTAAATACTAATTGTCAAATAACAACGAAAATAGTACAGTATTATTTTCCAAAAAAATTCACCAATTAAACACAACCTTAGTTATCAACTGCAGTGGAAGCAACTGTGTTAGTTCAGGTACGGTAGAGCGCACTGCTGTCTTGTCTCCGACACATCTTCAATTCCAACCGTGGAAGTTGAAGGAAAGGGGGTGCTGCAGACAAACAATTCCACGAAATTTGAGAATTTGGTTTCGGTAGCACTTTCGTTTTTATTTGGTAATTAGTGTTCAATCATAGACTAATTAGGCTTAAAACGTTCGTCTCGTGATTTCCTACCAAACTGTGCAATTAGTTTTTTTCTGTCTACATTTAATGCTCTATACATGTATCGTAAGATTCGATGTGATAACTACTGTAGCATTTTTTAGAAAAACTTTTTGAACTAAACCAAGGATGTTAAAGCATGCATCTCCTACGATTGGTGAGGCAAATGAGCCTCTGCTTAATCAGTAGTAGTGCTTGCCTGCTGATAAATTAAATCCGGCTAGTATATAAGGCTTGTTTAGTTCTTCTCCTAAAGTTTACTTCTTATGTCATTGAATGTTGGACATATGCATGGAATATTAAATATAGACTAAAAATAACTAATTGTACAATTTGCGACTAATTTGCGAGACGAATCTTTTAAACCTAATTAGTCCATGATTTGACGATGTAGTGCTACAGTAACACATGCGCTAATGATGGATTAATTAGACTTCCTAAATTCGTCTCGTGGATTACTGACGAATTTTGTAATTTATTTTTTTATTAATATCTAAACACCCTATATGATACTACCATATAACAATCGATGTGACACTCTAAAGCTTTACACCCTGATTTAAACAGGGCCTAAGTCCCACCAGTGACTGAATCTGACCTGGCTAACTGAAGGCATGAGACACACACACACACACACATATATATATATATATATATATATATATATATATATATATATATATATATATATATATATATATATATATATATATATATATATCATCTCAGCGATTTAGAGTACACATACATGTCAGGCACATCCTGGCCTGCAGGCCCTGGCGTTACAGTTGAGAGGAGAGAAGCGAATTGAAGTGGCACGCGGTATCCGATCGATCGAGATCATGGATCCCTCGATACGAGGCCAGCTGTCCATGTGACCTTCACATGCATGCTTCCGTGTCCGCCCTGCACGGCGCCACGGTCCTTTGCTCCGCGCGCCATTACCTCCCCGGCCGGCCGGCCCAACCTATTACTATTACTGCATGTATGATATGCCCCATGCATGCACAAGCATAACACAGCACAATTGCATTGCACAAATAGGCATTCAGCACCCCGATCACTAGTCACCAACACCTCACCCAATGCAAGCATGGCAGGGTCCGGACTTCTCGGACAGGCGGTAGCTGGCGCGCGACGGAGGTGCGTGCTGTCGCCCTTGCTGCTTGACCTTGAGAGACAACAGTCAATGCGCCCGCGTCGCAGGTTGCAATGGCAATGGCATCGTCGTCCTTGCCGGGCTGCATGCAAAGCGAGCGAGCGAGCGAGAGAGAGAGAGAGAGTGTGTGTGCGTTGGCAGTTTGGCACGCCGCAGCACCGCACGATGCTGCAAAGAGGCTAGCCGTAGCCAATGCAACTTGGCCGGCGCGGCGTCAGTGCAGCGAGCGAGATCCACCGTCCACCTGCAGTCCTCGTCCTCCACCAGCACAAATCACACCATGGAGTAACTACTGCTCCTCCGTCCATTGTCCATTCATTGAATTACCTCGATCTCCACCGACCACCCACCACCCACCCATACATCGCTCTTGCGTGCAACGGTGCAAGCTGCGCTTTGCTGGTGCTGCTCCTGCCTGCCCTTGTGCACAACTGCACATCCATCCCATAGATAGCTTAGCTGCATTACTCCCTAATGAAATGGGTAGCTGAAGATAAAACGTTTTCCATTACTACTCCTACTACAGTACTAGTACTCTTGGCTATACCTTCTGCAAGGATTGCAGGTTGCTTTCTTGGTGTTTACAACCCTCGTTTACCAACAGGAGGCCATGAATGCATGCGCTTGCATTGAGGCCTTGTTTAGATTGCAATTTTTTTTTTAATCGGGACACTGTAGCATGTTTTGTTTGTATTTGATAAACTTTGTCTGATCATGAACTAACTAGACTCAAAAGATTCGTCTCGTGATTTATAACCAAACTGTGTAATTAGTTATTTTTTTTATCTACATTTAATGCTCTATGCATATGTCCAAAAATTAATATGATGAAGAGAGAGTGAAAAAACTTAAATTTTGAGGTAATCTAAAAGGCCGGGGTGGCTTTCTGAGCGCCAACAGTTGAAGCCTTGATGACTGATGAGCGAGGACTGTCCGAGCTAGTGTCGTCGTCGCAACAGCAGCGTATACTTAGCGCGTGTTCAGTTTCAAAAATACTTCCAAAAAAGTGCTACAAAAATACTTTCAAAAAAGTGCTATAGTATCCGTCACATCGAATCTTGCGATACGTGCATGGAGCAGTAAATGTAGACGAAAAAAAAACTAATTGCACAGTTTGGTTGGAAATCGCGAGACGAACGTTTTGAGCCTAATTAGTCCATGATTGAACACTATTTGCCAAATAAAAACGAAAGTACTACAGTACCCAAATTCCAACTTTCCTTCCACCTAAACACACCCTCAGGTCTCAGCAGGACAGCTAGCAGCACAGCACCAATGGGAATTTGCTCTGCTCCGGTCCAGCTGTGTAAAGTTTTAAGATAAGGAAAAAAATGGTCCAACTGTTTTCTTTCAGATGAGCAAGGAATTTGACGAGCATGGGAGTAGCCTCTGCTGCTGTACATCCCAAGCCATCGTCTTCCTGCTTTCCTGCCACAAAGAATGCATATGAATGTAAGTATGCACGCAGAGACAAATTTGTTATCAGGGCCATGAGTAGCAGAGGCTTGATGCACTGCTACTACAGTCTACAAGCACGGCAGCACGACAAGGAATGCAGGCAGCAAAAGAAGAAGAAAACCTGGGAAGGAAACAAGAATGGGCTAGGCCCACTGTGGATACCAGAGGGTAGTCAATCGGCGGCGAACCCATCATCCATCAGCCTTTGAGGCTTGAGGCTTCAAAGGCCATGACGGCCCATCAGACTTGATGAGTCCAGCCCGGCCTGCCCCAGCGCGCCATGAACTCCGGCCCATAAAGGCCTGTGGTGAAAGTGACACCCTGCCGCAGTGTTAACGGTCTGCGTATCATGCAGGGGCTGGATGGATTTACACGGCATGTAGTAAGCAACCCAGTGCACCGTTACGAGCTGAGTCATGCCTTGCCAAGCTATGCCATGCCAGCCGGTTGCTTCGCCATGGAGGTCAAGGAAATGGTGTAGAGTAACTCCTTGAGGCGCTGGTTAAAGCTCAGCATCAGTAACGGCTGCTGCTGTCACAGCTAGCTAATTGCTGCTGCCTCACTAATGCACCCCAACGGTAACATCACCCGGCTCTCGTGTATAAATACACACCTCGACTCCTCCACGGAGTCTCACAAACACACCACACCACCGGCCACACCAGCCTCAGATTCATTTGGACGCCGGCCGGGTTCATCTATCTCTAATTCTCTACAATAGCAACACGCTAGAGAGCTAGGCGATAGATATTATCTAGCTATTGGCACCGGTTTTGGTCACTATATAGTACGAGCCAGAGCGATCGATCAGGTTCGTGTTCTTGGTACGTTCCGGGGATAGAGAAGAACCTTGGCACGTACACGCAGTAGAAGTATGGCGCGGCGGATCGCCGGAGTAGTGGCTCTGGCCCTGCTCTCCGTGCTCATGGCGGCGACCTGCGCCGCCGGCCGCGACTTCTACGTCGGCGGCCACGCCGGGTGGGCGCCCAACCCCACCGAGCCCTTCAACGCCTGGGCGGAGCGCAATCGCTTCCAGGTCAACGACACCCTTGGTGAGCTCCGTTCCCCGTCTCTCTACACGCTCTACAGTCTACATGCATGCCTGCATGCAGACAGATAGAGATAGAGCCTTTTTTTTGTCCCCCTGCGCTTACGGTCGCCGCGTGTGCCGTGTGCACGCGATGGCGACGCGACTGACATGCTGCTGCCGTTGTGCTGTCCTCGTGTGCGTGCAGTGTTCAGGTACAACAAGGGCGCGGACGCCGTGCTGGTGGTGAGCCAGGGCCACTACGACGCCTGCAACGCCACGGAGCCCGCGCTCCGGCTCGACGACGGCGACTCCCGCTTCGTGTTCCACGCCTCCGGAGCCTACTTCTTCATCAGCCCCGACGCGGCGCGGTGCAGGGCCGGCGAGCGCCTCATCATCGTCGTCCTCGCCGTCCGCGACGACGGCACGTCCTCCTCGCCGCCGCCGAAGCCCTCGTCGTCGCCCGCGCCCCCACCGCCCACGTCCACGTCGCCGCCCCCGCATCCCGGTGCCTCACCTGCTCCGTGCGCGTTGCTCGCACCGCCGCCGTCCAAGTCCTCGTCGCCGCCGCCTCCTGCTCCGCATGCCCTGCCTACACCGCCGCCGCCCCATCCTGTTCCGGGAAAGAACGCTTCGTCGCCGTCGCAGTCGCCCGTGCCGGCGCCCGCGCCTGCGCCTGGCACGAACGGGACGTCTTCGCCACCGCCGTCGCCGTCGTCCGCCGTAGCCTTCAGGGGTGGCTTCCTGACGTGCCTGCTAATCGGTGGAGCAGCTATTCTCGTTTGATATGGCAACGTCGTCGTCGGTGGATAAACTTTGCATTGATCGTGTTAATTCTCGTTTAGTTGGTGACTTAGATTTGCTTATGAGTTTTAGGGATCGTCAAAATAATTTTGTTTTGTTTGTTTCGGTCGATTTTCTACAAATTTCTACTAGATCCTTCAAAGTGGGACATGTAAATCTTTATTAGAAGGAATGGATCTCCACCTTTATAAGCTAGCCAAAAGGATGGAGATATGTATCTTGCTTGTTCAAGATTTGTTTGCCATGGCATGATTCATGAGGTCTCAAATTCCAATGTTATTTTAATTTTCAATTTTCCACTTGTGTGCCTAATTGAAATATCAATCCCTTAGATGAGCAATCTCACACCAACGCATGAGGATGCATCCTAGCCCAAGCAAGTTAATCGACGTCCATCAAATGACCCCCTAAATGAACACGACATATAAGGCCCTCCACAGCGTGGAGTAGTGCCCGGAATAAATTGGACCCACAGAGAAGAAGTTGGTACCATTTCCATACTCGGCTCTCTCTCTGTTTTCTCTCCACAGGCTCTCTCTCTCTCTCTACTTCTCTCTCCACAGGCCACAACACTCCGCTCCAAGTTTTGCTAGCTCTAGCATCACTAAGTACAATCCTTTTCTAGCTCCTCCAAGTTATAACTATTGTCCATTGCAGTGAGGCCTGGCTATTTGGAGTGTTGTGGTTCAAATCATTGTTCATGCGCTAAGAAAAAAGAGAGATAATCCCACTAATTGTAGATTTTCTATAACTATAATCCAACGTGCCAAATGAAACAACGGCATAAAAGGCAGAAAGGAAAGATAATCTCACTAATTGTAGATTTTATATAGCTATAATCATGTGCGGAATGCATCGTAGTCAACTTCTCCAACCAACTTATTAATTTCTATTTAATCAGTGCACTAAATTGTATCCAATCTGAAATTTTAAATTAATAAGTGCACCTAGTAACATCTATATTTACTGCTCTAGGTGTTGGAGTTACCATCGGATTAACTCTTGACATGAATGCTAGAAATTGAACGTGTCATATGGGAATTTAGTTCTCTTGATTGATTTCACACACAAAAAAACTTACTAAACCTTAGAATTACTGGCGAAGCCAAGAGGACTGGTGATGACTAACCTACCCTGTGTCGATAAAATTCATGGAATGGTAGAATAATATAAAATAAAGATAAGACAAATGTAATAAAATTGCTCGAGCAAATAGCATCAAATTAAAATGCCCACACCTCAAGCTAGCCACTTCTCAAACTCGAGCTTCGATCGAGTGGATTGTGGATGTTTCACTGTTTCAGGCATGGAGAGAACTACCGGAATAGATGGAACGAAGGTTGTTTATTTGCGCGCGATTATGTTCTTGCATTGCCACAAAAAAAGAAGGCAAGATAATGTTGTTTATTTGCATGTACACAGAAAATCCAACGGCATCAGACAGTTATATATTTCCATGATTTGTTAAATCACTTTTTCTATTGTTCAGTTGTCTGTTTTTTTGCTTTAGTTTCAGGCGAACAGCAAACGAATGCTTCTTCCCTTCCTAATCCACCCATTAATTTTGTATTCTCCTTGATCCGTGCGCCGCTGTCTAGTAGACAACGATTTAGGTGGTGTTTGAATCCAGCGACTAAAATTTAGGAGGTGTGTCTGTAGGATGTTGCATGGGGTGTTCGGATACTAATAAAAAAATAAATTACATAATTCGTCAGTACTCCACAAGACGAATTTTTTAAGCCTAACTAGGATTATGTCCGTGCGTTGCGACGGGAACAAAATAATATTACAGTAATTTTAAGCTTAATCATGCATATTAGCCTGTGAGTATTATTTCTTTATGTGATTGCAGTATTTCACCAGATTTCTTAGCTTTTCTTCAACAGTCTCCATAAGGGAACCTGTGCGTTGTAGAGATATGATTTTCGATGTGAAAGAGTTTGTTTCTGAAACGTTTTTTTTCTGCTGTATCTTTTTTTCGCAAACTCTTTTTTACCGTATTTTTTGGAAACGGGGATGTGTAAGAGTTTGATTTTTTTTGCCTTGTATATGTTTTTTTGGAAACGTTTTTTTTTTTGCCGTATTTGATTTTTTTCGGTTTGGAAACGGGGAGGTTGGTTTTTTTTACTGTGTTTTTTTTTGCCGTGGGGCGAGGCGATGCAGACGAAAGCTTTAGGGATTTTTTTAGGTGTAGATAGATAGAAGATAGCTACCTATGTGGACATGGCGATCGCGTACACAATGATCGTCTCCCTTTGTATATCCTTGGGGAGGGGTGAGCGTCCGGAATTTTCTTTTTGGCAAGACCGATCAACGTATTCTCAGGGGGGCAAGCGTGTAAACTCTGAGGTTTTTTAGGTGGTACTAATTGGCGGCGTGGGGTGATCGTGTAATTGATCACGATTGTTATGGGAATTGATTTTTCTTTCGTGATTTGCTGCGGTTGTTATGGGGATTGAGCTGATCGCATGGAGCGAGTGCACGTTATCTTCCTGATCTGATCGCATGGAGCGGCTTTGGTGTAGCACCTGTGGACAGAATAGTTATGAATGTTTTAGTTGTAGAGATTAATCCGTCATTAGCACATATTTATTGTAGCACCACATTATCAAATCATGGACTAATTAGGCTTAAAAGATTCGTCTCGTAAATTAGTCGCAAACTATGCAATTAGTCTCGTAATTAGTCTATATTTAATACTTCATGTATGTGTCCAAACATTTGATAGGACAGCGACTAAAATTTATGAGGGTAACCAAACAACACCTTATTCTGTTCCTGCCGCTGTGCGCCAACAATTCTTTTGGGCTTTCTTTGTTCCTGACTGCAGTACGTGCTCTCTCAGCTGAGGTAAGTGTCGCCGCGTATTATTATCGTTGAATCTAGGGCTGCAAGTGTCGCCTGAAAATAAGCCATATTTCAGGCATCTGAAATATAGCAAGCCTTGTGTACGGATGACTTCATTGTTACAGTTTGGAACGTGGAATGCATTGTCTTCTTTGAATACTGAATGAAGTAGAATATGTTGGTGTCACTGGTCATATCTATCCGATCTCTTATATCTAAAATGTAGTATTTTAGAAGATAAAAGATGCTGCAATAAATCTACTATCTCTCATCTCCTATATTTATATTTTTTAAAGAGATCTAAAAGAAGGACACTCCCTCTCCACTATTCCTAAAGAAATATAATATATAAGAGGTAAGTTTTAGACAATCTGCTAGAGGAGATTTCATCTAGGCTCATCAAAGGATGACTCATCAGCGTTTGCGTCCATTAGATCAAATGATTATTAGATTGTTCATCATATTATATAGAGTAATGTCCGATTCACCGTCCTGAAGTAGTTATTTGATTTGAAAACACTCCCTCGAACTTCGAACTTAAATACCGAATGAACCAAACAAAATACCCTCATTGACCATTTCAAAGTGGTTTCTTGAACGGTTTTGCTGACGTATTGTTTGGTGTCTCTCTTTTTCTCATATAAAAAAAACCTTTTTACGAAGTCGTATCAATACAAACTTTAAATCAAAGTTGTAGAGCTTGACACCATCTACAACTTTATAGTTGATAACTTTTTATTTAATATACTTTAGACTCAAATATTCATTTTAGGTTACCAGATTCTAAATTTCTTTCTTTTTTTTCAATTTTTCGAAGAACCCCGAAGGTTAACATAGTTTATACCAGAGTTAGTTGTGGTTTCCAGCAAGATTTACAACTTTGTAGCCAATAATTTTTTTTAATCTAAGATCGATTAGAAATCCATTTCAAATTCTTATATTTTGAAATTCAATTTCCTTTTGTCCCACGTGCAAGTCTGCACCTATGCACGCAGGACCGTACCGCCAGGGGGCGGGGCGAGAGCGAGGCCGCGACACGCGGGCGCACCGTCCAGGCGAGCGTGCGGTCACCCTGGTTTGTCTCCCTTCCAGCGCCTTCCTCTCCAAATGGCCTCCCTGTGCTCCTCTTCATCTCCCCCTCCTCCTCCCCTTCACACAGCGAAGAGAAGAAGGCAGGGTGGGCGAAGAGACCCCCGCCAGTCGATCGTTCAATCAAAATACTAGCTTATCGACAACAAGGCCACCCGTTCGACGACATGGCCCGCCTCGGCGCCGGCGCCCTGTTGGCGCTCCTGCTGGCGGTCGCGGCGGCGGCGGCCGCGTTCCTCGCGGTGCCGGCCTCGGCGAAGGTCGGGGACCTGAGCGCGATGGACTTCGTGGCGGCGAGGACGAGCAGCATCCCGGGCCCGCGCAGCAAGTGCTCGGGCGCCGTGGGCGAGTGCGACGTGGACGAGGAGGAGGAGCTCGGGCTGAGCGGCGGTGGCCTCACCGCCGGCGACGCGATGCGGCGGACGCTGGCGCAGCGGAAGCCGACCAACCGGTACATCAGCTACGCGGCGCTGCGCGCGGACCAGGTGCCGTGCAACAAGCGCGGGCGGTCCTACTACAGCAACTGCGCGTCGCAGCAGGCCGCCAACCCCTACCGCCGCGGCTGCTCCGCCATCACGCGCTGCGCCCGTAACATGAACTGAGCGCGCGCGGGGCGGCCGGCGGGCGCCGCGTCGTCGCTGTCGAGGCGGTCGGTCTGATGATCTGCCTCTGCCTGCCTCGGCACGCAGCTAGCCTGGCTCGATCGCGCACCATGCATTGACGACGTCGTCGCGGCCGTGCCAGTTCGACGGAGGGTCGGACGCCGGAGGAGGAGGAGGCGCTGACGACAGTATATACACACAAACCCTACTGTCATTTCTGTTGTCGTTGTGCGTAGCTTCTCTCTCTCTCTCTATATATGCGTATGTTTTATATATGCAACGAGATATGTTTGATCATCGATCGCGATCTGTCATGTATGTCGTCCATTTGTTAATTTGACAAAAAATGTTGAAAAGAAGCTGTACTGTGCATCGGATTTTGTTTGCCGCCTTCTTGCGCTCCCGAATTCAGAGATGGCTCAAAATCGCAAGTGAGTGTGCCAT